CAGAGCGCCAGCGCCTCAGCTCTGGGCCCGGGATTTGCGTTACTTGGGGAGGCTGGAAGTTCTCTCCGAAGCAGAAAGGCGAGCAGCAGGTTCTTCTGCACAGCGACCGTCAGCCGTGCGTGCTCGGAGTTTGTACGAACTTTGCCCGAGCGTACTTCCTGAAGGTTTTCAGGCAGCAGAAGGGCTGCATTATGGAATGAAAAGGACCGTGTTGGTCCTCTCCCACTTGGCAGTGAAGGGCTGCAGAACACTGTAGATTTCTGAACCCTTCAGAGAAAACAGAAAAAGAGCTTTAACAAGTTCGGCACTGCTTACTGTTCCCAGATGTAAAAATGACAAACACAAAGGAGCGGCAGCCATGCCCACTCATCCTCAAAGGCAGTGACAGAGGAGTCCAAGTTACTCTTCAAGTTAAACTTGGCCAAGAGGAAGCAATATTACACCAAGTCACAGGCTCTGTCCTGCAGTTACGCAGATGTCGTGCTGGGAAGCTGACGTGAGTTGATGACATTCACTCTCAGCTCCTCCATGAGAGTGGGAGCCATACCTGCTCCTAGGGAGCCTGCTCACCCTCTGCAGTCTTCACCCCATCCACCTCTCCCATGTCTCATCACCTGCACCAAGCTGCTTCTATTTTTTTTTATCCTTTTCCCTTTTTCTTATCCCACCCATTTTGTCTCCCTCCACTTCCTTTCAGTCTCACAAGGAGAAACAGTCAACATGGAAGGATGGAGGGAACATGAGACTTCTTTCTGAACAGTTGAATGCCTGCCGTACCCTTACTGTCCCTTCCTGTGTTAAGGTGTCCTTTCACAGAAGCAAAGGGAAGCTTTTTGGTTCAGTCAGTTGTGGTCTAGGGTTTACAGGCTTTTTTTCTTCTTTTAAGACCGGTGTAACATCAGATCCACACAACAAGTTACACAGATGCAACAATGGTGTATTTTTGTGAGCTGTCCCACGCAGAAATTGGCAAGTTAAGAAATTTTTGTATCACTTAGGCTGCGTTTATGTTGTGAAATCCACTTTTCAACTAAAGTGTGCACTTGAAGAGGGCCCAGCTCTCTTTTGTTTTGAATACAGTTTTACTTCCTAAGGAGTAGTTAGTCATTTTCCATTACTCAATGCTAGTGAGTGGTTACTCAATGCTGACCATGAACAGACGGACCAGTCTTGCTTTAATGCTACAATACACAAAGAAAATTACCTTGAAAAATGCAGCCTTTTCTGTGATGCTGCTGTCTTCAATTCATGATTCTGGTTCCCAGATCTACCCTCACGTCTAGGCAGCCAAGCAACCGCAAAATCTGAAAGTGTGTACAGACTAATGTCTATCAAAGCTACACTAGAGAGTACTTCCTCATTTGCAGTGGTGAGGAAATGGCAATATTGGTTTAAGTATTCATCTATAAATACACCTGCAAACTTGACAGTAGTTGCTGGTTTCTTCCAAAAAGCTCCAAGAAGTCAAACCAATACATCTAGTATCAGTACCGTAAGGCAGTAATGAAAACAATGGTTTTATTTATGTTGTGACACTTAACACTGGTTTCAAAGAGAATAATTACATTTGTGAGGTGGTATCATAGTAAACACCACAAAAAGCATGTTACAGAAACAAAAAGTTCTGGTAAGGTGAAGAAATTAAACAGGAGACAGCCAGCTGTGGAAAAAATACTTGCAGTTTCCATGAAGTGTATAGAACTCAGTGTGAAAGAAACATTTAAGGACAGAAACAGACACAGAGTTAAGGCTTTTAAGTGCAAGTGATCTTCCTATGGGAAGCATATTGAAAATATTTTCTCTGAACAGGATGCAGCTTGAGGACTTAAACCTGTGCGAGAAGCTTCACAATTACAATGCTGTGGAGCTCACTGTCCACACTAGTAAGGGCTGCATGTCTTTTGCTTCCTCTTTACTCCACTCGTTACTCTACTAATGAGCCTTTACCATGTGCACCCCAGGATTAAGACTTGCAGGCAAGCTAAGTGTCCATCAAATGTAAAGAGAAAAGTCATTTCTTCTCTTGTCTCCATTCAGCAGAGAACTATAATTGAAATTTCCACAATAGAAGGAAATTGGACATCCCTTTGTACAGAAAGCTATGTAGAGTATCTCTTGTTACTGCAAAGTAAACTTGCCTATTTTAGCTTTTAAAATGCATGAAGGTGTAAGCCTGGATAAAGTCAAATAAACCAGCCTTTCAGTTAAAAGCAGCGTCACCTACATCAGGTTGCACTTCAGGTGAGCAAGATGAAGAAGCACAAAAAGAATTTTTGCTAGCACTGTAGAGCATTAAGAGGAGAACAAAGCTTTTAATAAAACCCATAACTAAAACCAGTACCAGTTCAAAATGGCATCTGACTAAAATTTGGGGGTTTGGTGGCACAGAAAAAGGGAGATCACCCAGACAGCTCAAAATCATCTGACTTACGAAGGGACCTACTATACATTCTGAGGTTCATTGAAAACCATCTTCCCAGATTTACGTATACTATACCTCCCTCAAAGGTACATAACTACTTCATCCAGGATTTTGGAAACCATTACAGGAGAGGTCTTTACTGGAAGCTAGCAAAGTTTTTTTTTGTTTCTTAAACAAAATGCTTTGCGGGCATTGTAGGGTACAAAGTACCCCTGCTGAGCACCAAAAGGAAAATGAGGTCTTGGACACAAAGTGTGAGAGGAAGGAAAGCAGGACATCATGGCATGTAAGAGCTGCTTCTGATGGATTCTGCCTTGACTGTGGGTACAAAGTACCCACTTGTACTTAACACAAAGTACAAGTAATCTGTTTTACAGCATCGCAGGAGACATCTGCATTACCCAAACCCATGGGTCAAGTCTCGACCTATTGATGCTCCAGTCAAAGTAACACAGCTTTCCTGAGTGCTGACACTCTCTCAGTAGGCTCAGCTGAGGCAGACCAGGCCAGTTTGAAATACAGGTCGGTGCAGACATTCCCACAGTCTGAACATTGCAAGCTGGTATACGAAGGGTGCAAACTGTTTTGAAATCCTATTCTTGGGAGCCAGATTTAAAGCTACAGTAAGTGACTTGAGGCGTCAGAAGTATCTAAATGCCTACTTACTCTTTGCCTCTGTTTATTCTACAGAAGTGACCACATCTGAAACAAGAAGAAATAGTATTCTCCATATTGAAAATTAATGTCACCACACTGGACTGAATCGAGAGTTCAACTCTTCTCGTGAAATGACACTATCAGTCCTGATTCAGGCCCTCGTTAAGACTAAATATCCCACAACTGACAACCCTGTTATCTACTAAGGAGAGGATAGTTGGGAAAGGCACACTGCAACACCCAGTTAGCACAACTCACAGGTGTCTTTGGCAACTCACCCATTCTAATGAATTATTCTTGTATTAATCTTTCAAAGGACCGCATCCTATTGCCTTATTCACTCTCAATCTCTCTGGGATTTCATGAAAGCTCACACTTGAGAATGCATGTAACTGTAAAATAACTTTCATTCCTTTATTCAAACTTCACATATACAGTGGACAAAAAGACATTTTAAAATAGATCCATATAATTATATGGATTTTTGCAACATATCAAATTCAGATCTAAATTAAGATATACACTGTAGTCCATAACCAAGCTAAAGCTTAAGTGTATACTTCATTTGTGTAATAAAACCCAGGAACTACTCTCAACACTGGAACATTCACCAGTCAATTCCATTGAGTGGGAAGTTGTTTACAGCAATTTAGAGGTTCAAAATCCCCCTCTACAGGGGCTATACAACCACACTGTAAACAAGTATTTGAATTAGGCAGTTTCCCTTCTATTCCAAACAGCCTTCATTTTACAAAAGCAGCTGCTGTAAGTTGCAATGGATACAGGAAGATTTAGACCAGTGGTTTTCAGTATGCAAGTTACCAACCCCAAATGAATAGAAGATCTGCAGCAGTTATCCTTACATGAAGAAGGCCAGAGCCTCAACTCATCTTCACAGCCCTGATGTGGATTTGCTCTTGGGTGTTTTTCCCCAGATGCTAGTAGCACAAGCCTCTTCATGCAACTAGAAACAACCAAAAGTTTGAAACAAGCCAGAAGAGTGACAGTGCATGTGGTTTTAAGAGAAAAGTAGAAGGAAACTTCCATGTTCTCATGATAAGCCAGAGCTCCACAAAACATCCAGTCCCGATGGACAAGACAGTGACAATTAAATGCAAAGTTCAAGTTAGAACATTTCCAGTGTTAAACATTCCCTCCACCAGACATTTGTACTGCCTTAGTCAGAAACTGACAACTGATTCTGAACAGCACTATCAAAAAAAGTAATACAGCTCTTCTAAAGACTGGGAAAGTACAGGTAATAACGTATCGAAATCTAGATTAACAGGTCAACATTTTACAAAAAAGTTGTAAGACTTAAATATCCCTTTTTAAACTGCTTAACACATCTGATAAATAGCTTGCATGTCAATCTGATATATGCTGTACCGTTTGGCTCTTGAATCCCAAGCCTTTCCATAAGAGATACCGCATGTAGAGCACTGTCAAATAAATAGTGAAAAACCAAAAGATGCTGTCTGTTTCAAAGCATGAAGAGTAACAGCACATTACGCAAGATAATCAGCATTTTACACAGAGGGAATGCCATTCTGGTTGAACAGATTATGAAGCAGTATTCTCCATGAAATACTAGGCACAAGAATAATCAATTAGACAGTTCTTTCTGCCTAATGGACAAGTCTAAAATTAACATTCTTGGCAATACAACATTGTAACTGATATGCTTCTCAATATTTAAGAGCCTTAATGGCAAAAAACACGAAGCGATGTTTATATTTGTGTCTTTGACAAGCAGTTACAGTTCTGGACAGATTTCTTCTATGCTGTGTGCTCTACTTTCCAGCTGGTCACGAGTATCATGTGCTGCGTAAGAAAGATTACAAAAAAAAAAAACACAGATAACTCTTCACACTCATTGAATATTTTCAAAAATAAACACAAATATCCTCTTGAAATCATCTTTGCTTCTCCAGAGGTAATGTTTGCCAGCCCATTTTAGCAAATTACAAGCTTTTAGTTTGAGAGTGCAGAAAATTCCGAAATAGTTATTTCACTGCCATGTTCTGAAGAAATTCCTAACACCATTGTTCAGTATGCCAAGCACTGAATGCTCACCACCCCTGGAACTGAGAGGATGCAAGCCAGGAGTTCAATTCAGAGAGAGATCAATTTGCAGAACTAACGTATGAGGTTCCTGAAACACGAGCAAACATAGTACTTTTCAGGTCAAATTTCAATTCCAGATGAGACAATTCAAAACAAAACAAGCTTATAAATGAAGGAGCACAGCTTGTTGTGTTTTTCCAGAAGTCGTTAAACTCCTGGTTTTGAGCCAAAGAACTGCAATAAATCTGAGAAAGCTCCTTCCCATTAGTGCTTTACATATGAAAAAGCCCTCTCTCTATATATATCTCTCAAAAAAAAATTATATATGCACCTGAAAATTGAGCAACATAAAGCAAAGATCAGAAAAAAAACACATCCAGGCAGTAATCTTTGCTAAAAAAGGCCAGTTAGGCTTTGGCACGAGTTACACTTGGTAGGAGCGCAGTTTAACCAGCGACTCGCACAGCCGACAAGCAGAACGGATTGTGTGTGCTCCCAGCCTTCCCCCTTACTCATCTTCAGGGCGATGCTCACCGAGGTTCAGAGAACACAATTCGTTCTGTACCTCCCAAAGGCCAGAAGCGCACACCCAGTCAGCTGACAGCGAAGCTGATCAGCAGTATCTGAGCAGCTAAACCAACCATGAGGAGAGAACAATAGTTTTACTGCTTCTCAATTGAACTGCTACAGATCACACCCTTGTAGGTGATACTTTTGTGTAGCAGAAGTAAAGACAGGCCTGCATTGAAATCATCACGTTTAAATCTGCCTACATCGGGAATCCTTGTGGAGAGGAACAAAGGTCACTAGTTTGCTGGCAAAGTCTATTTACGTTGTTCATTGAGTCATAAATAGGGAGCAGTCAGAGAAATTCCAGACAAAACTGAAAGGCAAGCAATCCTAATGCAGTCTATTACAACTTGAACTTTCTTTTCCACCAAAAACCTTGGCTGCCAGAATCCATATGCATGGGATAAGTTACAGCTGCTTGAGGCAAGAAAGGAATGACCCATCCACTTAAAACACTTGGTAGCCCACAATGAAGACAGGGGCAAAAATATCCAAACAGTTCTCACCATCACTGACTGGACTGGCCATCTTCATTTCAATCAGCAAGAAATCTCAGTCTGTAACCAAGAAGGGCAACTCATTAGCAGACCCGGTGGTATCTGACAGAAGCCTTCTCAAAAACCTAAGTCTTTAGCCCCTTCTTCAAAAGGAGAGTGTAGAGATTAGAAAAGCACTGTTAGTTTTACTCAAATACAAACTAGACAGGATTAGTGGGTAGAAACGAGCATCGGGTAAGTGAAGCACAGAACCTTTAAGGGAACTTCATGGACAAAAAAACTCCAAGTGAGAAGAGGGTCTCAAATTGCCTGAAAAACAACCCACGAGCCAGTGGAGCCCTAGAGTCACAACAGACCACTGAGAAATGCCTCTTATGGCACATCTTCACCTGGAATGATCATCAGTACTACAGAAGTCATATTGTTCTACTGGAATAAAAACACACTGCATACCAGCTCTCACTTACATGGATTTACAGTCTCTGTAAATAAAGGTGAGTGGTAGCCACATCACCAGATGATCTCTGTAACTTCGGAAGAACTGACGTTGAGTGGAAGAAATTATCAAAATGTAGCTACAATACAACATGTAGAAGACAGACATTTCCTTTGAAGTTAAAAGCAAGTGTCAGAGCTGTTAGTTTGATGTAGAGTGCAGCCAAAATAAGCCATCACAAAGATCAGCTCCTGCATCACCCAATACACTGAGTAAAGAAAACCCTCCTTTTCTGGCCTGTAAAAAAGCACTTTAAAATACAACAATTTGAAGTCGAAGAGCTCATGAAAAGCTATCCAGATGAATAATCTTTCCACATGCTTACAGTCCTAACAGGGGAATCTCAGGAATGAGAATATTAATAGCATTTTGATCCACTTCCATGAAGGAAACAACCAAACTGAAATACAGTTTTAAATACACAATTGCCTAATACAACCAAAAGCCTGGCATGACCAAAAGCAGAGACTAGCAAAGAACCCAAGTGGCGAGTGTTAAAACGAGCTATTTGAGAAACATTCTGCAGCTCTAATATCTGTTTAATTAACATTTATGAGTAAGGAGATTATTTTGTGCCCTGAGAATATAGATGAGAGAGTGATCAAGAGATACCATTTCAAAAAAGTTATTTCAGTAAAACCTTGACGTTACTTTAACACTGCTATGTTGCTGTGTTTATCTTCTCGATACAGGAATTTCTTAAAACATGGGTAGTAGCAGGAAACGGAGAAGTTTATTAATAGTTTTGACCATATTCCATCATCCTTTCACCAATCCTGCTACAAAGAATCACACACAATTAGTCTGAGGGCATTCAATTCACTAGCTGTTACCAACGTGAGACCAGTACTTAACCTCAGAAGAACTGATCAAGTAGAGAGACCAAAAGCTGTGATGGTTGATGTAGAGATTAGGAGATAATGAAACAGCAAGGTTTGTTAAGCAGAATTATACAAAGCAAAAATGAAGAATTAAGAACTACATCAAGTTAATGGAAAGTATTTCTATATGCCACAGTGTGGAAGTGAACCAGTTAGTTAACGAGTTGATAAACTGGCAAACAGTTACATTTATGGACTCTATTGGCCATGAGCAGTCTAAAATTGATAATTACCAGTTGTGGCTCTGAAGCTGGTTATGAGGCAAGGTGGAAAATGGACTTCAACAACAGAGATGGAAAAATGCTGCAAAGGTCTGCCTTCTTTCCACTGGCGAATGCAGCTGTGGAGCGGAGTTGCCTCTGGTTTACATCAGAGAGCAGAGAGATGGCAGCTTCAAGCCATGGAGAAAGGTCATAAGGTTGCCTATTGGAGCTCTCCTTTCCCCTGGAGAGGGAAGTTCTAGTAAATAGCCATTTTAAGGCATATGGTAAGTTACTAGATAAAGTCATTTCATTAATGGGTCTCAGACACATACCAAACGACCCTTTCAGAGCAATTATGAAGGCATTAGTCCTGTAATAAATAATGGGACTAAAGTGTACAATCCACAGAATTTAAAAACATGAAACTTTGCAAATCACCTTTTTATTGCGTGGAATTTAAACTAATTTTAGAAGAGTTCCTAGTTCACATGGTTGTGAAAAGCAAATGTGAACCAAGTTAAACCCATGCAGCATCTTCCCAAGTCTGCAGACTGCTGACATCTCATAGCTTTGTCCAGCAACAGAAGAATGAGGCTTACAGACTTCCATTGCTATCAGTCTCGTGAGCAACAGATGCCTATTTTTTAAATGCCAAAAACTTGTTCAAAGTGCTGTTATGTTACACACAGAGGTGGGTAGTGAACAGCTTTAGCTATTCACCAGCCAGCCACCACAAAAAAATCAAAGAGTTTTATTACACAGTCTATCCTTTTCACCCAGAGAGATGCTTAAAGATGAAAGAGAAGGTGTCAGCCTCTATTATAGTTTTATGAGTTTCCTATCAAGAGACAGCCCTGAAGCAGGTTCCAGAAACAGCTCCAGCTAGAAGTCCCAGACTTTCTTCCACTAGCTGCACTAAAAGCAAAGCTGAGGGTCTTACTCCATACTGTAGAAATTAATATTACTGCTTAAGGACAAGTGCGTACTGCAGTCCTAACAGCAGTTTTACATTACAGTAAATAGGGAGTAGTTCTTACTCAGGAAGTTAGATACACTTCTCAACAGGGAGGAAGCATTCATGCTAGTTTCCCATTGCTGGCTACAGGATGGCTTGGGAGCAGAACTGGAATGGAACCACGACGTAAGGCCAGGCTCTCCCACATGGTCACAGCTTTAGGTGTTCTGTACAGGACAACTCCTCCTTGAAAAAGGCTGCCAACTCAGATCAGTTATGCTGGGGAAATAGTACGAAGCAGATGTGTTTGCTTTTCTGTCGTGCCACAGCAAACAAAAGCCCACATGCTATTTAACAATGCTGATGGGTTTGGTACCACGCTTCCAATCTTCCTATTCAGACAGCAGGCAGTTTTGCACACTGGGCATTGCACACACGCTGTACCCTCCATTCCATTCATTCTCACACTTGAAGGTATACCCTTCCCAACAGCTGAAAGGACCACCGGTACCTAAACGTGCTTTTTGATTCATCAGTAACTCACCATGTTCAGTAGCTTCTGTATTCATTGTTTCTACATCTGCAGCATCTTGCATTTCTTCATCCTCATCATCATCCTCCTCTTCACCACGTAGTTCCTTTGCAATGAGCTGTCTTGCCAGTTTGATATTTCGTCCTTCATTGTAGTGCATTTTTCTCTTCATTTCAAACTGTTTCTTCTTCTCTGTGAACACATAAATGCAAATATTTATTTCTTCTCTTTTTTTAAAAAAATAACAAACCAACTTATTTCCTTTTCAGAGAGGCACCATCTACTTCCTAGGTCAATTTTATTCCTACCTTTATTCCTACAAAAGTCCATTGTTTATATGATCAAGTAATCACCAAATTCAAATGATTTTCTAGCAGCGGAGCATTCTTTTAAACAAGTCTGATTTACAAAAAGGCTAGTAATTAATGGACTGGAAAGGCTGCAGCACTTCTTTTAAAAGAACCTGTCTTCAACTAAGAGCCTGTCTGAACCAGAGAAGCATCTAGTAACAGCATAAGAAATTCCAAAGTTTTGCAAGGCTTGTTTCTAAGTAAACTTAAGGACAAATTGAGATGTACTGGTGGGATAGAAGATGCACTTTTGCAGATGTCCGACTTGACTCCTGGCAAGCTACCAAAGGCTAATTATGAGAGTTATATTTACCACACGTAGAAGAAGGTATTTTCCACTTTCCCCATGGCCTGAAGCCTAACTTTGCTCCATTATTAAACATTAGCAGGTCTGGCAGTAACACGTTACAATTAAATTAAACTTTGCTTATTGGCAGCACCAACACTGTTTCTTTGTTCTTTTAGAACAGTAAGGTTACATGCTCAAAGTTGGGGCCAGGAAAGATGAGAAGCAACAGCTAGATAACGCAAACCTGAAACCTTAGAAGTATTATTGTTTGACTGTTTCCTCAAAATGTTCTAGCCCAAGCTAACATAACACAATATATCTGTTGAAGATGCAATTTGCTTTGAAATAAACGTAGATTTCCTGCTGGATCCATATACCAGTTGCTTTCAAAACAACAGAAAAATAATCTGTATGTTTGCAAGCAATTAGTAGCATCTTAATTGCAGTGGTACTCATTGAATTGTAAAATCTATCTAAAATATGTTCGGATTAAGAAGTACTCCCTCACCCTCAAACCAGAAGAGCCTCTTATTGGAGAAACCTGTTTTTTTTAAGAGGAATTCCCACAACACATTTATTCAATCTTTTACTTACCCATCAAAGACCATATATCTCCATTTACAAATGACATCATCTTTCTATTAGATTGTACTTTTTCTTCCCCATTATTTCTTACTGAAAAACTGAAACCATCTGTAGGAAAAAAAAAACACAACACAAACTAAAATAATTTATGCCTACCTCGTTCTTCAGGTGTTAATTCTTCATCCTCTTCCTCCTCCTCACTGCTTTCCTCTTGCCTTGCTATAATTTTGGGTCCTTTGCCTTCAGCGGCAGCTGCTAGTCTACATAAAACATGCAGTACAAAATGCTGAAGCAGCAAGTTCTTCATTATTTAAACCACATGAAATTTCAGAACACTCATGAACTGCTTAGTTCATTATTTTTGCCATATTTAATGTACTAACAACCTGTAAGAGGTTTTAAGTGTCAGTGGCACTATCAAACACCAGAATCTACTTAATTTGACCACGGCAAAAATTTAACTTCTAGAGAAAACAGCAACACCTTTCCAAAAAGAAAACTACTCCAGAAAAGAGAAAATTATCTTAATTCTCAGTCAATTTTCTATTACAATACTTACTTTTTACTCAATACATCTGCTTTTAAGGGCTCATTTGATTCTGAGTCGCTCACTGCGTCCTCATCATCTTCTCCTACCATGCTTGGAAGGCAAAAAAAAAGTAGCCTTTATCAATAATTGGCTGCTTAAAATTTGCTTGATTAAACAGTTTAAACCTTACAACACTCAATTAAAAGACTCCTTTAATAATTTAAAAAACTTCCCAAATCTAATTTAAATATTGATATGAATGACAACTTTATATTCTAGTACATGGATGTTAATTGAAAAAAAAAAAGAATACAAGTTAAACTTACTTATTCCATTCAAAGCCTGCTAGGCACAGACCTTCTAAAAATTGACCTTGTTCTTTTTTGACAGTTCTCCTTGATAGTTAAGCTATCAGCCTTTACTTGGAAGCTTTGTAAATCTGACTATGTTGTATAGATCCAACAGGGCCGCGCGGTCTGTTAGGCAATCAGCTACAGTAAATACTGCATCATCTACAAAGTCAATTTTGCTGTAAAACTACTATCATTTACTATCAGTTTAGCAAGCCTACCTGTGATAAGGAGTACTTGGCTCGTCTATTTTCATCAAGCCATAATCTTTGCCTGCTGGGTGGTATGTAGCTATGATGTTCATTTCATCCCACTTCTGGGATTTTTTACTGAAATAAGAAAACAAAGTTAAATTTTCTTATATTCTAAAAACAATTAGTTCTGTTTGGCCACAGAAAAGGAATATTTAGAATGTCTTTTGGTCTCTACTACATACTATACACAAAGAATATTGTTATGATACACAGGCATGTTCAAAGTATCGCTATTAAACCCTCTTCTAGACATACTTCAGTTAAGTCATGACAAATCATCAGTGCAGCTTAATTTCCCTAACAATTCACAACAACTAAACTCAATGATCCATAAATGTATTCTTATTCATATACATGTATTTTCTCAAAAGACTTCCAGTCTTGTTCAATCACTGTCCCGTTAACTGCTTGCTCCTGTTACAAGTTACTGTAAAATCATTCTTCCTCTTACTACAACCCACAACGCTTCAACAGAACCAAATCACTTCCACCTCATCTCTGCTCAGTGAGCACCTGTGATTATTAGTGCAATACCAACCAACAAATCATCTCCTGCAGTAAAATAAATAGCACTGAACAAGCTGGTTATTAATACTGCTTTTGTCATCCTAAAGTGGACTCATAAACCAGAACTGATTCACAGCTGTAATTAAGCCGAGGGAGTTTCACATTTTACAGACAGGCACCAATGATGTTACAATATTTAGAATTTCCTCAATTAACCAAAGAATGCATCATTTTTCATTTCATGTATATTTGCATAAACAAAAGCCCACCCAGACTGACAAAATATGTAAGCCACAAGGAAAGCAACTGCCTTACAGCCAGAGGAAGAGTCACCCATCCACTGATCTAAAAGCCACAGAAATGTTTAATCAACAGAGCCCACCACATTCCACATTGTCTCTAAAAAGGTTACTACAAGCTTCATACGAGGTGGTCTTTCCCTTCGACTAAATCAAGAAATGTAACTTTAGAATAGTAAAATCATTCCACTGTTTAATGTTACCTTATGCATTAACAAATTCCTGAATTGTTGCAAACCATTATTTAAGGAAGCAAATGTTAGAGGGCTTTGTTGGTCTTGGGGGTTTGTTTTGTTGGGTTTGGGGGTTTGTTTTTTTGTTTTGTTGGTTTTTTTTGTGGGGGGGGGGGGGGGGGAGGGGAGTAGCGAGCGAGAAGACTTTAACTTAACTAGTCTTATAAAAATACAGACCATTCCAGTAACAAATTTGAAAAATATATTCAATCTCAATAACACAACTGCTCTTGAGCGGAATGCTATGTGTAAAACAAAACTGATAAAGCAAAATTCCAAGGGCAAACTAAATTTTACATTTATGGAGAGCACTGATGGAGTTGATGCTGAATCCTACATGCCCCAGATTTATACTCCAGAAATGCACACAAATTAAGTGAGCTTAACCCCCTTGGCATACAGTAACCAGTGCCAAACTCTCCTGTCTGAGGTTCCAGATCTGTTCAGTCGTTCTGTTCCAACTGCAACACAAGGATTGCAACCTAAGCAGACAACACGTGAGCCAGACTGCCTGCTCTGGCAGGGTGGAGAGTCATGAGCTTCATGATGACAAAGCAAGAGCTCTCATCTAGGAACGCCAGTCATGCAAACTTATTTAGGAGTTGAAAAACGACCAGTTCAACATCAGCCAAATGGCTGCTTAAAGTTCATCTATGACTGACGTAAGATGATCACACGGATACACAGTGAGCGCACAAGAATTTCTACGAGCCATGGCAGTCTAACAGTGGTACACAGCCCCTATAAAGACAGAGAGCTTAGTTAGGAGTTTCTGCCATCTGTCACATTTCCTCTTCATCATATGCTTTGTGTTCACCGCACCTGCCCAGAGCGCGCCAAGGTTTATTGCCTGGGCTCACAACTCAATACCTAATAATAATATTTGCAACCTTAGAAGCATCTCTTTGGCATACACTGCTCTTGAAATTAGACAGCCCACAGCTAGCAATTCAGCAACACGTCAACACAAGACTGAGGAAGATTTTAGTGGTTTCGTTTTTCACATTCCTTTCTTTAAACTCGATTCCAACACTAAAAGCCTGGCTGCGGAACATCTCCCAAAGCTCAATTTAAAATTCAGCTAGGAAAAAAAATATCATTAGAGGCAAACAGACAAACACATCACTTCACCCCTCCGAGTAAAAAGCCATCACAGGAGAGTGACTAAGTGCTCTAAAAACACACGCCTCTCTCGACTGTCTCCAATTTAGCATGCTTCAGCATGCCTGAGCAGCATGACGTTAATGACAGAGCTTAGGACCATCACAGGAAAACGCTTCCCGACATCCTGTCAGAATCAGAAATATGAAATCTGTTTTCAGAAAAATCTCAGAAGTGCTCATTTGCATTCTCTCACATCTTTAAATATATATAATCATTTATTTTGAGACCGCACCTTGACAGGCACGAAGTTTCTGCAGCAGAATTATTCGAAGGAACACCTCTCACACCCCTCTTGCTCCTGCCATAGCAGACTCTTCCCCTGCCTATTCCAACACAGCTGTTTACACACACATGCTGAGTTACTTATTTTGTAAAACTCCAGATCAGATCGTTCGCAGGCCCAGTGAACTAAGGCAAAATATACTGTACACCAGGAATGCTAAGAATGTATCTACCATTAAACCATTATCTTAGCTCTTAGGGTGTAATTCCAGTTGTGTCCCAATTTCACAAGCTTCCCTTTTGCATTGTATTTTCATTAAGGAAGTTTTCCAAAGAATTTTACCATCACTAACAACAGTGCAAAGTTAGTAACGATGCAAATACATGAGAGCTCTGCTGAATACAGTGCTTTGAAAGATGACAGCTGACACAATGAGCTCTTTCATCTGCAGCTATTTTTAAAGGTATTCAGATCTGAATTTCCATATTAGAAATAAGCAGAGAGGCTGCTGATAGAGGTGCACGAAGACAACAGATACCTGAATTTATAAACTAATTTTTAATCTTCAAGGAAAATCACAGCTCTACTGCTTATCATTCTTTTAAGTGTGAGAGTCAGAAGTAACACTAATTTATTGAAGCGTTGCCAACCAAGAGTAGTATCTGCACACAAACCAGCTTTAAATACCGTATACTGATCTTTCCAGGAAGTCTTCTAACGCAGCCTGCCAGGTTTAGCCAAAATCCTTTAACTGGCAAGGCAATTTCAGAATTCATCTTATTGACTTTATTGATTCACATTGGTAAATGGGAAATAGAAGCTGGACTCCTGCCCACTTAACTGCTTTGCATGAAATTACTGTGTACTATAACCAATATACTATATATTCAGAACACCAGTTTGTAATCTAATTTCTGATCATTCTTCAAGATGGTACAAAAGACACTACAGAAAATTAAACAGGTGCTACCAATCGCCAGTTTTACTTCATGTCTGGTTTGGCAGCAAATACTTTGTGCTATATTATACTAAAACTAGAGAACAGGAAAAAAAACACATTTGTGTACCATATTGCTACTTACATTCACCTCCTTCAAAAACATCGTCTCATTCCTTCAGCTGCAATAACTTCTCCCTGGAAAGCAGGAGCACCTAACACACACAACAGAGCAAACCAAAAACTTTTCGTTCCTACCTGCTGACTTTAGACGATACTTATGACTTACCTAGGCAGAAGGGAAAGGAATACTACTATAATACAAAAAAAAACCCTGCACATCCATTTTATTTCATCATTATTTCTCTCCTTGCAGTGCTGAGTGAGGTGCCAAATGAAGAAAACCACCAAAAGTAATTTTACAAACATACAAGTTCAGCTCAAACCCTGGTCATCGTAATGTGATGGAGTCTCAGAGGAACGTTAGGCAGCACATACTTGGTGCTAACATCAGGAAAAGTGCAAGAATCCTCACTGGCCAAGGACAGCTGCTGGCTGGCTAAAAACTACTTCTTGCATATTTGGATTAACTCAGCATGTTACAATTAAACAAAGGTTTTCTTGTCATTCAAAACACAAACCATATGGCCAGCGTATATTCTCAAGTGTGAGATCTTTACAGATTCCTCTTGAAAAAACGAGAGCACATCTTACTTATGTTCCAACCCAGGAGAGGTTCTCTTTCCACGGACACATTTCTGGTTACAGAGAAATAAGCTGCCTTGGAAGACAGGACTGAGAACAAGTCTCCCACAGCAAAACGCATTTCCCAATCTGTAAACTATCCTTATAGCCATTGTAAAACCTTCTCTTTGTCTTTCCGAACGAGCGTTTGAAGATAACACCGCTTCTGCTAATATTCCACGGACAGCAAAGCAGCACCTCAGCTCTCGGGAAGAGCCCGACGACAGTTTCTCCCTCCCTTTCTCCCCCCAGGCGCACAGCCCCTGCCCCGAGCTCTACCCCAGCCTC